TTACGTGAGCAACATTATGGTTACTAGACTCCCCCCATCATCAAGTCCCCACCACACACCCCATTGCAGCCACTGTCCATCAGTGTAGTAAGGTGCTATAGAGTCACTACTTGCCTTCTCTGTATTGCAATGGTGTTCTTAAGAGAATTTTTTCTTCCTATCTAAGTTTTAAATGTACTGCTTTAACTTGTTCAAAATATGTCTTTGCACTGTAATTGTCTGTAGGATCTGTCTACTTTTTGTAATGATTTCATTTTTATTCCTGATGAGTCCTGTGAAGGATTTATTCGTTTCACTGAGAATTAAAAAGACCCGAGTTCTATTACTGTTGACATTTTTTCTATTTTACTGTTTATTTTTCATATCTATTATATTCTTTCTTCTCCCTATTTTTATATTCCCTTGGCTCTTTTCCAAAAAAAATTACTTTCTTAATTTTTAAGCACAGGTCATGATCTTAATTCCTTCTTCTTTTTTAATGTAAGAACTTAAACCTGTATATTTGCCTTTAAGAAAATTTTAGCTGCATTTTGTAAACATGAGACAGGTTTCATTTATATTATCATTAAGTTAGAAATGTTTTCTTATTGAACTTTCTTTCTTCTTTAACTATGGGTTATGTTAAAAGAAAATACTCATTTGTTAGTTTGGCTTTATTCACTTCTCCAACACTTGTACCAGTTATGTAGCCATATCTTGATATACTTTGATTAGTCAGCTAATTTCAGATCCTCCTCCTGGACCGAGACATGGATCGAGTGGGTAGCATGTTTAATCAGAAACAAGGTGAATGGGGATACTGAACATCAAGTAGACAAGGGGTAATAATGGCATGAAGAGATCTAGTGATTCCTCTGATAAAAATGATCAAACATGGAGAAAAACATTGAAAATAATTATCTGAAGTCACTAGATGAAAGTCAGGAATTTGAAAAATAGTTAATTTTAAAATAATCGCTATTTTATTACGTTAAGTCAGAACTGTGAATTTGAAGCTTATTTGTCTAGAAGCAGTTCACACTACATCCTGCCTCTCCATTTCTCCAAGGGGGCAAATACTAGAGTTTAGAACAGGAAAAAAAAATGGAACTTCAAGACAGAAATTTTGAAAACAAGAAAGCTACATGTCAAAACTGAGTGTACTCTGTGCAAAGCCCTGGCTAATCACAGGTTGCTTAGTAAAAGAAAAGACATGCACAAATGAAGGAAGACTATACCCTTGCAAGACTGAATGACTCCTAGTAAGGTTTGTGAGTTAGATGTGCCTTTGAATGAATATATTTCCTTGCTACCACACAAATTTGAGACCAGAAAGTAGACTTCTTATTTGCTTGAGTTGTGAGATAGCAGAAATCAGGAATAGCGAAGCAACCGGAAATTTACAGAACTACAGAGAGAAAGAGTCTCAAGATCTGAGAGTAAACTCTACACAAATAATTGCTTACAGCTAAAACAATATTCACACTGTAGTTACCCACAAAGCCAGAATAAAAAACAAACAAAAGCAACATCTGAAAGCAAACTCAATTTGAGGGGAAACACCAATACCTAAAAATAACAAAATAATAGGTGAGAAATATTCCGCATTTTCAGTTCACTAAAGTTAACTGCTCATTAGACAAAAAAAAACCCTCAAGAAAACAATAAAATATTTTCAGACGTGTCCTATCTAAAATGTTCAGTTTTCAACCAAAATGCTTACCTATGCAAAAAATTAGTAAAGTGAAATCCATACACAGAAAAAAAAATCATTTAATAGAACTTGACTTCAAGTGACCCACAATTCAGATTTTGTAGTACTTATACTGGGTAATAAATATATGTTCAAAGAATGAAAGAGAAATATGGTATTAAAGAGTGAACAGATGAAAATATTAGCAGAGAAACAGAAGTTATAAAAAGGAAACAATTGAAAATCTGGATTTAAAGTTACAGCAACTGAAATGAAAAAGTTATGAAATAGACACAGTAGCATTTTGGAGAATATAGAAGAAAGAATCAGTGAATTGGAAGACAATCAATAGAAATTATTTAATCAGAAGAGAAAAACATTAGAGATGAAATGAATAAACTCTTTGAGATTTTTTTAGATAACATCAACTGGCCCAACATATGTATAATTAGAATATTAGAAGGAAACAAAAAGATAAAGGAAGAAAATATTTGAAAAATAGTAGTTGGAAACTTCCCAATTTGGTGTAACACAACAACCTACAACTCAAAATATTCAGCAAACTACAAGAAAAATACAAAGGCACACATAAGCACATCGTAATCAAATTGCTGATAACCAAAGGTAAAGAGAAAACATGGAAACAGCAAAAGATATTTGAGACATTACATAGAGTAAAATGATGATGGCAACATTCTCATAAGAAACCAGGACAGAGGCATTGAAAAAAGCATATGAAAAGATGAAAAACATCCAGTTGACCAAGAATTTTTATCCAGTTTAACTGTGCTGCAACACATAAAAGGAAAATGAAGACAATTTCAGATAAACAAAAATGGAGGCATTTTTTGCCCACAAATATATGCACATAAATACTAAGGGAAGTCCTTCAGGCTGAAAGAAAATGAAACTATGGTGACCTGGATATACAGATAAGAATGAAGACCATTGAAAATGGCAAATATATAGCTACATAGAAAAGATTATATACACAAGTATAATTTTATCTTAATTTCTTTAAAAAGGCATGTGGCTATCTAAATGTTATAACAATGTGTTGGTGAACTTAAGGAAATGGAGCTATGCTATTAAAATTTCTGTATTTTACTGGAATTGATTCAATTTTACATTTAAGTAGGTTATAAAGTTTAAAAATGTCTATTCACGGCAATTGCTATACTAACGTTATACTAGTTTCCACATCTTTTTCATCTTTTGGATCCTCCTGACCAATGCAGGATACCACGATTGTTATGGTAGTTAAGGCAATGGGTTCTTGAGTTCCCTTGCTGCTGTGTTACTAGTTGGCTGTGCTGTCTTTGGTAAGTTATTTAATTATTGCATGCCTCAGTTTTCTTATCTGAAAAGTGACAATAATAGTAGTACTTTAAATATTCTGAGTGTTCAACTCATATAATGAAGTGAGCAGAAAGTCTGGCATTGAATATGTGTTAACAATGATAATTATTGGTCCTATTGAACCAGTGAATGGGTGAGAGTATACATTGGAGGTGTGAATATTCACGCCATTCCTATACTAGATACAAATACACATTGAGAGTGAAGAGTTCAGTGAAATTATTAACGTGGATTGACCTTCTGGACATATTCAGGGCATACTTGAGGACATTCTGAGTGGTGGAATGGAAATCTGGGGGCAGCTATTGCGCTATTGTGAAGAGAAGGAGAAAGGAAGGTGGAAATAAAGTAGAGTTGCTTTTGAAAAGATGTGACTGAAAGAAGTGGAGAAGACAGATGGGGCTATGGGAAGGCGTTGAACCTAAGGGAGATCAAGGTATTCTCGATACATGAAAATGAATGTGTACGTGAGTTTGAAACTGCAACACATCAGAAACGGTTCTCTCAAGGTCTGTTAAATTCCTGTTTTCTTACTTTACATCTTACACTGTGAGTTTAGAAGTATAAATCTTGAGTTCTGTGATCTTAGACTGGTCACTCAGACTCCATCAGGCTCATTTTCCTCTTCCGTTAAAAGCAATTATTCACAATTTCTCACTAGGTCCCTGTGTGTTTTAAAAGAGGTTTAACATGTGAAAATAATAAATAGGATATTTAGCACAAAATACATACACAAATTATTCTTTGAACCACAATTCCAGCATCTCTTTGCTTATGTTTCTTTTCCCCCCAAAAGTTATTCAAGGCTAATGACAAGCACAATTAGATGTGCTTCCTGAAACAGCACCCGCTGGGACTGGTGGACCCTTGGAGAGAGAAGTTGTTTTGACAGAAGCAGATGATTCACCACCTGGGACCAGGGGTGCAGGAGATTTCTGGTATAATTTGCTTTGAATAATTTATTTTGCTCAGAATCGTTTCTGAGATGCACCCCAGGTCCTCTCACCTGCAGACAGGCTTGCTGGGGGCAAGTCTACTGCATGGTTGCTGAACAGCAGGGCTGCTCCTTACTGCGAGCCTCCTCGGGTGAGAGGAGAACCCTTTCTCGCCTAATCTTTAAGGGGTAGTAGAACCTGATGGTGGTTCTTCGGGCTGAAGGATACTTAGCTTCCCAAGCCTGATTCCTCCTTCACAGCTCAACAGACTCACATGGAAAAGGGCTTGTGAGAGGGTTGGTAGAGACACGGGAGATCATTGTTGAGCAAGCTGTTTCTTTTTCTGTATTCATGTCAGTGAGTGTCCCCCGGTGTCTGAGAAGAGTCATCACTGGCAATGGAAAATTACGTTAGATTAAGACTCAAAGCACTTTTTCTCTATTCTTGGTTCTGTACAATTTAAAGCAAGTCATTTCCCCCCTTCTCTGTGTTGCATGATCTGTAACATAATATCCACCAAGCCACCCCACAGGCAATGTGTCTGCCTGCACATTCTTACGTGGCAGCGAATGTATGATGGTGTGGAGGAGTGTGTGTGCACATATCTACTTATGTATGTGCTGCCTGAATAGTTTTGCATTTCTAATATATGCGCGCGCCTGATGTGCATTTGGTCATTGATGGTGAATGTGCGGTGCAAAGTTTTCAAAGTGTGAAATATGCATAATTACGCGAGAGTCCTTTGTATGTGGTATGCCTGTCTGCGTGTGCCTTCATGTGTGTAGCAAAGTGTGTGTTTGTGTGGATGTATGTGCATATGGTATATCTTTCTACATGTGTATGCACATGTGTGTATATGTGTTTAATGTAATTAATACCTTTCTGAATTTGGTTGCTGTCTACATTAGATCTTTCTTTCCAAGTTAAAACAGACACAAAGGAATGTGCATCCACGTCATCCTGCTTTCTGAAGAAGCTAGGCACCTACTGGCAAGGTGGAAGGAAGCATAGCTCTCTCAAGGGTGTCACTGAGAATGGGACAAACCAATACAACGTCCTGGAGGGGCTTTGTCTTTCTGGGCTTCTCCAGCTTCGGGGAGCTGAAGCTCCCGCTCTTTGCGCTGTTCCTCTCTCTGTACCTTGTCACCCTGACCAGCAATGTCTTCATTGTTGTAGTCATTAGGCTGGACAGCCACCTTCACACCCCCATGTACTTCTTTCTTTCCTTCCTGTCTTGCTCAGAGACCTGCTACACCTTGGGCATCATCCCCAGAATGCTCTCCAGCCTGGTCATGGGGGGCCAGGCCATCTCCTACATGGGCTGTGCAGCCCAGATGTTCTTCTCTGCCTCGTGGGCCTGTTCCAACTGCTTCCTTCTGGCTGTCATGGGCTTTGACCGATATGTGGCCATCTGTGCCCCACTGCACTATGCCAGCCGCATGAAGCCTACCCTCTGCATCCAGCTGGTTGGCATCTCCTTCGTGAGTGGGTACCTCTTTGGGCTGGGAATGACACTGGTCATTTTCCACCTCCCATTCTGCAATTCCCATGAGATCCAGCACTTTTTTTGTGACACGCCGCCGGTGCTGAGCCTGGCCTGCGGGGACACGAGCCTCAGTGAGCTGGGCATCCTCCTCCTCAGCCTGCTGGTCCTCCTGGTCTCCTTCTGCTTCATCACCGTCTCCTACGCTTACATCCTGGCAGCAATCCTGAGGGTCCCCTCCGCGGAGGGGAGGAAGAAGGCCTTCTCCACCTGCGCCTCCCACCTCACGGTGGTCATTGTTCACTACGGCTGCGCCTCCTTCATGTACTTGAGGCCCAAGGCCAGCTACTCCCTTGAGCGGGATCAGCTTGTTGCTGTCACCTACACTGTGGTGACCCCTCTTCTCAACCCCGTCGTTTATAGTTTAAGGAATCGGGCTGTGCAGGCAGCCCTGAGAAATGCTTTGCAGGGGAGATTGCTGGGTAAAGGATGAAGGGTACCCCAGTGGGACAGTGTCCTCCTCATAGGCTGGACACAGACCAGGAGCTCAGGCCAATGGGACAGATATTCAGGGTCTCGGGCCAAAGTTGTCCCATCCCCAGCTCCCCGGGAGAGCCACATCCTGCCTCCTGCCCTTCCCCCAGGGCTGCTGGGGCCTGGAGGGGCCAGGCTTCCTGCTCTGTTCCCTGTCCTTAACTTGCACTGGGCTCAGATCTGAATTCCCGCCTTCAGCCTCATGGATGCCACCCCTAGTTACTGAGACCCAATCACTAGGCATTTTCCAACCGAGCTGCACAAGATGAGGGAGGTTCGGGGTGCTCACCTTCACAATAGCAGTGACTGGGGAGCTATCAGTGATGCTGTCGGGATTTCCAAAATCACTGCCCAGTTACACTGTCTGACCTGTACTGTTCTTCCAGGATCTGAAACTCAGTGTCGGTTTGAATGCTTCATTAAATGAGAAGGTTGGTTATTTTCTCTCTCTATCTAGGTGTCTTTCATATTTTCATGGAGTTGTCCTTTCTGTCTCTGGCTTATTATTGTTTTGCCCTCTTCCTTTTAATTAGCTCTCCCAGTTGGGTGGATTCAATTTCAGATAAGATATTTGCTTCCTAGTTTTCTGGGTAATTGCTGTTGTTCTCTAAAGACTTCCTAGTCTTGGGTGTCAGGGACCTCCTCCCCTGGATGCCTAGCATGGATATGGTCCTTAGGATCTGTACTGAAACCCTCTGTCCTGCCCTTTACACTTTCCACCTGTAATATGTTATGCACAGTTCCAGGCAGTCTAAGGGATGAGTAAAGGTGTAATGAGTTCAGACAGCTGTCTGTTAGTAGTTTGAGTCTAGACTCTTCAGCTTACCCTGCTGTCATGGGTAAGTTACTAACCTTTCTCAGTTTCAGTGTCCTCATTTGTAAAATGGCTGTAACTTCCTAATTTTGCATTGCTTGCCAAACAGGATTATGCATGCAAAGAATTTAGTGGACCATAATGATCTTCCAGTAAATGTCAGCTGCCATTACTGATAATGTGCAGAGCAAAGTGATTTGGCTTTTAGTTTAAGGAAAGGTTATTCTCAGTGGAGGGTCAGAGCAGGCTTCATATCTAAGGTAGTACTTGAACTTGTTCCTAAGGATGGGGGTGTTTTGAATGCAGTAAGTGGGAAGAAATATATTTTAAGAAGAACTGAAGTCTCAGGGCAAGACAATATAGACCTGTTTCAGAATGTGGTGAGCTGTCCAGAGGGAGTGAAAATGTCTCACAAATGATGCTGAGAAGTTAGCTTGGGTTAAAACTTCTTTGTGGCCAGCAGTTTCAAAAGCTTGCTTCAGACTTGATTCTCTGGTCAGGGGCAGATAAGACGTAGTAAACCTTTGAGCAGAGGGCAGAGTGGGATCTGGGCAGTGACTTAGGAAGCTTGATCCAACCGCAGACAGAATGAGAGATCTCAGCCGGGAGAAAAAGGAGGAAGGAGCTCAGCAAGGAATCCCACTGCCAGCATCCTAAACAAAGGCAGTGACACCCGAACATGCGTGGTGGCATTGGAAACCGAAGGCAACTTCAGACATAAGAGATTTTGAAAATGTAGGAGTCACATGATTCAGTAATGAGTCAGACATGGGGAAGACTTGAGACAGAGGAAAGAACTTATCTTGGGGGGGTATTTTTTTTCAGATAGGAACCCATATTCTTCCAAGCCCTTATGGAAGAAATACATACTTTATGGAAACCAAATTTGGGAGGATGGAAGCTAGATTCCAGAGAAGAGAACAGGTAGCAAGGTAGTCAGGTGGCAGAAAGGGCCTGGTCAGGGGAGAAGGGCCACGTGTCTAGGATCCTTTTCACTATGGGCGGGAAGTTATTCTCCCTTTGTACCGAGGCCGTTAGAGCAAATTAATTTCCCCAATCCAGCCAGTCCTGCTAACATGATTTCCCTAAAAACACACCGAGCAATGGTGGGTAAAGATGTTCCAAGAATTGCTAAGCAACATTCACAGGTCCATCTAACTTCCAAATGTGGTAGCCTTAAGTATGAAAGAGTGTAAAAATCATTTAGGGGAAATTTTGAGCAGACATGTTCCTGGAAGCCATCTTTATTGACCTTGACACAATTGATCTGGGGTGCAGACAGGAGAAATAGTTTACAAAAGCTCCCTTGGTGATTCAAGTTCCCTCCCCTGGTTGAGAATGCGCTTATGAAGATGAAACCCTCTTCTAAGTACACACACACACACACACATAAACACAAAGCACAACAGAGGTCCTTCTGTTGTGAACATGACCCCATATGCCCAATTCATGGTTGTTTGACAACCCCTAACACTAGAGGCTCTGGAATCAGTTTCTGGTTTTAAAGCCTAGTTTTTCTACTTTTAAATGTGTAACCTAGAGAAAGTTTCTTCACAATTCTGTGCCTCCATTTTCTCAATTGCAAAATGGAATAAGAGTATCTATTTTATAGGGCTTTTTTGCATGTGTGAAGATCAATGCAAAGTCTTTAGGACAGAGCCCGCCGTACTGGAAGCACTCAATATAGCCATCTATTATTATTTGGAGTTTCTAGACAGGATCACTGTAGGCTGCCCTATTTGTTGCCTATTTACTGTTAGTGAAAGGCAGAGACTGACTGTCCAACATCTTATATTTTGATATAATCAGGCAAAGAAGAGTAAAGTGCTGTTACCCGGCACAGTGTTTGACTAGAGAAGATAGGAAGATGGATCTAGATCCCGAGACTTGAGAAGGTTAAGTACTGGGAAATGGGTTAAAGTATAGGAAAGAAGAATCAGAGGGCTTCCAGGCAAATGTTTGGTGTGAGAGACGTCCATAAACAGTAAAAGGGTCTGATCTGTTGGAAATGGAAGTGTTTTGAAGACCCAACTAAGCAGTAGGAATCAGGAAAGAAAAATCAGCAATGTAGCCACAGGGCAGAGCCCAGAAGAGGGCTCCCAACTGTGGGTAAGAGAATTACTATGAAGCAGGCAGGGTTCCAGTTTAAGGTAAGTGAACAGAAGGCCAAGAAAAGATGAATACCAGTGAGGAGGAGCTTAACCTTGAAATCAAGAGGCAAATCTGATACAAGTTCTAATTGTTGTAATATTAGCACTTGACTATTTAGAAACTTCAACTAAATTATGTATGCTTATTCGCATATTACCATTTTTTGCTTGAGTGCATGGGGGTCAGAATCTTATTTCTGTCAGTATGTAACTGACAGTGTCATCTTCTTTACTTGAACTTGTTCCTAAGGATGGGGGTGTTTTGAATGCAGTAAGTGGGAAGAAATATATTTTAAGAAGAACTGAAGTCTCAGGGCAAGACAATATAGACCTGTTTCAGAATGTGGTGAGCTGTCCTGAGGGAGTGAAAATGTCTCACAAATGATGCTGAGAAGTTAGCTTGGGTTAAAACTTCTTTGTGGCCAGCAGTTTCAAAAGCTTGCTTCAGACTTGATTCTCTGGTCAGGGGCAGATAAGACGTAGTAAACCTTTGAGCAGAGGGCAGAGTGGGATCTGGGCAGTGACTTAGGAAGCTTGATCCAACCGCAGACAGAATGAGAGATCTCAGCCGGGAGAAAAAGGAGGAAGGAGCTCAGCAAGGAATCCCACTGCCAGCATCCTAAACAAAGGCAGTGACACCCGAACGTGCGTGGTGGCATTGGAAACCGAAGGCAACTTCAGACATAAGAGATTTTGAAAATGTAGGAGTCACATGATTCAGTAATGAGTCAGACATGGGGAAGACTTGAGACAGAGGAAAGAACTTATCTTGGGGGGGTATTTTTTTTCAGATAGGAACCCATATTCTTCCAAGCCCTTATGGAAGAAATACATACTTTATGGAAACCAAATTTGGGAGGATGGAAGCTAGATTCCAGAGAAGAGAACAGGTAGCAAGGTAGTCAGGTGGCAGAAAGGGCCTGGTCAGGGGAGAAGGGCCATGTGTCTAGGATCGTTTTCACTATGGGCGGGAAGTTATTCTCCCTTTGTACCGAGGCCGTTACAGCAAATTAATTTCCCCAATCCAGCCAGTCCTGCTAACATGATTTCCCTAAAAACACACCGAGCAATGGTGGGTAAAGATGTTCCAAGAATTGCTAAGCAACATTCACAGGTCCATCTAACTTCCAAATGTGGTAGCCTTAAGTATGAAAGAGTGTAAAAATCATTTAGGGGAAATTTTGAGCAGACATGTTCCTGGAAGCCATCTTTATTGACCTTGACACAATTGATCTGGGGTGCAGACAGGAGAAATAGTTTACAAAAGCTCCCTTGGTGATTCAAGTTCCCTCCCCTGGTTGAGAATGCGCTTATGAAGATGAAACCCTCTTCTAAGCACACACACACACACACATAAACACAAAGCACAACAGAGGTCCTTCTGTTGTGAACATGACCCCATATGCCCAATTCATGGTTGTTTGACAACCCCTAACACTAGAGGCTCTGGAATCAGTTTCTGGTTTTAAAGCCTAGTTTTTCTACTTTTAAATGTGTAACCTAGAGAAAGTTTCTTCACAATTCTGTGCCTCCATTTTCTCAATTGCAAAATGGAATAAGAGTATCTATTTTATAGGGCTTTTTTGCATGTGTGAAGATCAATGCAAAGTCTTTAGGACAGAGCCCGCCGTACTGGAAGCACTCAATATAGCCATCTATTATTATTTGGAGTTTCTAGACAGGATCACTGTAGGCTGCCCTATTTGTTGCCTATTTACTGTTAGTGAAAGGCAGAGACTGACTGTCCAACATCTTATATTTTGATATAATCAGGCAAAGAAGAGTAAAGTGCTGTTACCCGGCACAGTGTTTGACTAGAGAAGATAGGAAGATGGATCTAGATCCCGAGACTTGAGAAGGTTAAGTACTGGGAAATGGGTTAAAGTATAGGAAAGAAGAATCAGAGGGCTTCCAGGCAAATGTTTGGTGTGAGAGACGTCCATAAACAGTAAAAGGGTCTGATCTGTTGGAAATGGAAGTGTTTTGAAGACCCAACTAAGCAGTAGGAATCAGGAAAGAAAAATCAGCAATGTAGCCACAGGGCAGAGCCCAGAAGAGGGCTCCCAACTGTGGGTAAGAGAATTACTATGAAGCAGGCAGGGTTCCAGTTTAAGGTAAGTGAACAGAAGGCCAAGAAAAGATGAATACCAGTGAGGAGGAGCTTAACCTTGAAATCAAGAGGCAAATCTGATACAAGTTCTAATTGTTGTAATATTAGCACTTGACTATTTAGAAACTTCAACTAAATTATGTATGCTTATTCGCATATTACCATTTTTTGCTTGAGTGCATGGGGGTCAGAATCTTATTTCTGTCAGTATGTAACTGACAGTGTCATCTTCTTGTGGCATTTTTATTGATTCCTAGGATAAATACCATCTCCTCTAGTCTTCATACTACCCAATCTCTTTTATAAGATTGTGTTAATGGTCCTTTGCCTTAGAAAGAAAGCATTTCTTCTTAATGCATCATATGCCTAGTAATCTGATTTATGGCTCCTGTTTTAGTTCTTGTCCCAGACAAAGGGAAGTCTAATTTCTATGCAAAGAATGGGATTGAGACTTAAAATGGTAATCAAGTGGCAATACGCATGTGTTGGGAGGTAGAGACTTTGCAGGGGATACTAGCATTTGCACGTAAGACAAAGAAATGACCTAAGAATTCTCACCAGCAAAGGACACCATCAACTTACAAGTCAGCACACAATGCCAGTATTTGAATCTGCTCAGACCAAAAGTGGCCTAAAAATTCTCTGGATATAGCCTCACCTATTCTTGTTTTTTGTTTTTTCCTTACTGCTTAATCTTATAAAAAGTTATACAGATTCTTACACTAATCAGAGACACATGTAAATGCAAACAAATAGTATTTTATCACATTAAAATGTAAGCAGAAATTCAAGGACATTGAAGACAAAGGAAACCCTGGTATTCCAGAATTTTGCCTTTCTGAGTCATAATATCCACTGTACTGAAGAAGTGTAAAAAAAGGGACAGATCAAGAAGAAAATAGATGCTATTCTGGTCCTCTCTGTGTGGTTCCATTTTACAGACTAAAATATTGGGGTTCTTCAAAATATCAGATATCTTCATTTTCAAACATAAGAGTTTAAAGACATTCCAACATTCATGAGAAATTATTTGTTAATCATCTTGGATTTTGTTTGTCTATACTATCATGGCCCTCATTTAGTGTAATTAGCTCCCCACATTTAGAAAACATTAGAATTCTCAGAAATATGGAAGCCAAATTGAGTCAGTAACATTTTACTTCAGATTACCTTGTTAAAATGAAGTTTTTTAAAGAAAATAAATGTTTTTTTTAAAAGGTAACACTTTATTTTATAATCAGAACAAAACAAAATAATAAAGATATGTAGAACCCAACTAATAAAAAAATAGAGATCCTGGCACCCTTCAATAGTAACTAGCTGCACACAAAGTAAGCCCATGGCCTCCTCTTTTCCAACTGTTAATGCCTTATATTCTCCCAAGGCTGAGATTTCTGTCAGGGCCTCTAATAAATGTAAAGCACACACACACAGAACTATCTCCCACCCACCATATTACCTGTCTCATTCATCCCACAATACTTCCCACCACACCAAGATTTTCTATGATCTGGGAAAGGCTGGTTATCAGTTGCCAAACTCAGAATTGATGAAGCCAACATAGTCGTAGCCAGCTGGGTGGCTTCGGCCCTGTGGGTCCACATACTGCTGCATATGTGAGGCACAGAATGCCACTTGTTCTGGGGTTAGGGCCTGAAACACAAAAAGATAGAGATATCGTAGTAGGCATTCAAAATAGACGGTTTCTTGGAGCTTCTAATGTGCCCTAAAGCCAGGGAATGCAGACTATAGAAGTCAGTCCTGTCTTATCATATACTTTTGTCATTAAACTATAATTTCTAATGAATAAGAACAATTAATCTCTTCAGCTCAGCTCTTATCTGAAGAATCTCATCTTACTTTGTATAATTTATCCCATTCCCTAATTTTGGTTCATTAAATGAATGGGATAAGACAGCCTTAAATGATGACTTGCAGGTTTGGAATGGGCCTTGATAGTCATTAGAGAACAAATGTGGGTTTTGAGGTGGGTCAAGACAAAATGAAGTGGTGACTGAAGCAAATGCTATCTTATGCAAGACAATGTCTGAGTAAAAAAAAGAGGACATATGGGTTGAGGGGATGGTAGTTGCCTATATTAGGCAACTAGACCAGAAATGAGCAAATTTTGGGTTACGATGAGAGCACAATGACTGTGGACACAACCAGAATCTGACCTGCTTCATGTCCTCTTTGGTAATGTAGGCCTTGCCTTCTGCCAGGGCTTGGAAAGCAGCCTCTATTTCATCAGTGGACCTGATGTTCTCTGACTCCTTGTCGATCAGGAATGAGGTATAGTCCTCCTGTGAAACATAGCCCTTCCTGTGGAAGAAATGGATCAGGAACTGTGCTCTCTTAAGACAGAGAGGCAGGCAGTTCCCTTTGTCACCCTACTCAGTGTCTCAGAGATAGAGGGAAGCTGGATTCTCCAAATGCCTCTTCCAACTCAGCTCTTCGAAACTCTGAGCTGTGATCTCTAATTTGAATGCCCTCCTCATGCCCTTATAGCCAAATAAACACTGTTTCCTAAGTCCCAGGCTCTGTTTCTACATGGGTCATTCAGCCTGACTCTACATAGCTTGGGAATTTTCCATTAGCACCAGTCCTTAGGTACTTCAAGCTCTTCCAGTTGAGTTGACAACCTCCATTTCTGATCTTCTTTGATCCTTGGTATTAGAAAGAATTAGTCCCTAACAGTAATGTGGTCCCCACCCCCACAAAGCACACAACAACCCCTCTCCCACGAATCATCCATGTCTCCTTAGAAGGAATTACACACATGAAGGAATTCATTCCTTGAGTTCTATTCTCAGAACCAGCTGATATTCATAGATCAAACATAAACCAAAATTTCGCAAACTGGAGGGCTGCTGCGTGAGTTGGAGTTAGTTCCATGAACTTCTGAGCTAATCCCGAAAGGGCCTCAGAAGTTGTCCAATTCATTTATGGGAGTCTGTCTCTTTATATCCTCAAGATGAGTTACTTCCGTGTTTTATGGATCATTTGTTCTGTGTGCTTGTCCCTCCAAGCCCCGTTCCCTGCTATGGTCTGGCCCTTGGTCTTCCCCCTACCTTGCTGGGTCAACAACGTCCAGGAACTGCTCAAACTTGGGCTCACGTTCATCTTCCTCCACCATGGGCAAGTAGTAATTGAGTCCTCTCAGGCAGGACCGGAAGTCTTTGTGACTCAAGCGCCCTATCAAATTCTTATCAAAATGTCTGAAGAATAAAAAGATTTTATCACATGCAGTAGAGAACATGATTATAATTGAGAGGAAAAAAACCCCCCACTTTTCTTGCATCAGCTCGAGTTTTATTAACATGTCATGAGGTTCAGAGAACAGAGTGCAGAGCTTTTGCCTGTTTCTGCACTTTTTTAAACCTTATGGATGGAGGGAAAAGCATAAAAAGTTGAACATGAAAGAAATGTATTTTCTCAAGTCTGGGAATCTCAAAGACATATTAAAATCCAGGACTTGAATCTAATTCATATATCTAGATCTTCATTAAATATCCTACCAAGCCACACCTAGAGAAAAAATGTTAGTAATTTGGAGATCGATTCTGAATGATCTGGGAAAAGAAAGACCAGTGAACTATGAAATTATACTCACGTATATGTTCTACTGAACTCCTTTAGGGTCTCCTCGCTCACACCTATGGTGTCTTTACCAAGCCACACCTAGAGAAAAAATGTTAGTAATTTGGAGATCGATTCTGAATGATCTGGGAAAAGAAAGACCAGTGAACTATGAAATTATACTCACGTATATGTTCTACTGAACTCCTTTAGGGTCTCCTCGCTCACACCTATGGTGTCTCTGGAAGGAAAAACATATATTGACCCAGGCAAGGAAACAGAAAAATAGCACAAGACATGCCACATGAAGTAGGGATTCAAGGGGATATTGGTATGTGAGTCATTCAGTTTCAAGGTTGTCAAACTAAGGCCCATGGGCCAAATCTAGTCCGCCACTTGTTTCTGTACAGTCCTTGAACTGAGAATGGTTTTCACATTTTTAAATGACTGAAAACAATGAAAAGAAGAACAATATGAACATAGTCCTACTCATTAATGTATGAATTATCAATAGCTGCTTTCTCCCCACAACGGCGGCATTTATAACAGAGACAGTATGGTTTACAACGTCTAAAATATTTATTATCAGGCCTTTCACAGGAAAAGTTTGCCAATCTCTGATCTAGATAATCATGCTGCCCTTATTATTGAAACCTAAAGCGGTGAAGCTTAAATTAATTTATTTAGAAAAAAAAAATGAATTCTGCTCTTCTGCCCTGTACCTTGAATATCGTTGCATTCCAGATACTTTAGAGGGAATTTTACAAAAGGAATTGCTTTCTGAAGAGATCACGTAAGATCCAACTGTGAGAATTGGATGACGTGTGTACTAGGGGGGATGGGAGCACGGTTTCCTGTTTTATAATAGATTCCGTATGAAAAGAAACAGTCATTCTCTGGGGCAGTCAAGAGAGAGAAGACTGACTGTGGATATGGCGTGGGTACTGTCTCTGAAGCACTCTGTTATCCTGTACCCCAACTCTAGCCCTTGCAGTTGAATTCCCAGCACCTAATACCACGCACGCCCTTCCCCAGCCCTGGCCACAGGTGCTTGGTATACCTGGCTTGGATCTGCTGCTCCAGGTTGTGCTGCATTCGCATCCCGAGCTGGTAGAGCTGGTCCCACTGCTGGGCCAGCCCGATGGTGCTGTACTTGATGTCTAGGATCAGAGCCTCTTCTAAGCTGTCTCCCAGGTCCTCAATCTTGGTCAGCTGACGCTTCATTGCCTGGATCTCCTTCTGCTTCCTCTAGAAAGAGACAAAAAAGAGATGCAGTCCCACAGGGTATGAGCTCCAAACTGAGGGACACTAGAGAAGAGAAAAAGCTGATATGTTTGGGTTTCCCCTAATTATGCCTTTCGACTTTTTTCATGAATCATTCTGTCCTCTGTGAAAAATGAACTATTCAGGAAAAATGCTTTACTTCTGTATTCTTCATTTATAAAATGGTATGAAGTTTAAGTGATATGACTTCTGTCATTCTGGTAATCTGCAAAACAGATAAATCTAGAAGTTTGTGGTTATATAATGTGGGTAGAGAGGAATAGAATTTCCAGGATCCATGTATGATCAGCACAAGACATGCCACATGAAGTAGGGATTCAAGGGGATATTGTTATGTGATCCATGTCATGACCTTTTTGCACTATGGACCACATGTGAGCTCTTAGGCCTACTCAAGTTTCCCAGCACTCACCCTTGGGCCTCTTTCATCAGCTTGGGCAGACTTCCACGGGATGTTTCTGCCATCCAGGCACATTATATGCCAACTTTCTGCATCTGAGCCTTGCTTTATCAAAAGGGGAAAGTTTTTCTCTAAAGAGGGTAGAAGTGAATTGGTTCTGATGATGGGAATGGGTGAAGGTATTAGATATATTGAAAATGGCAATGGCTTGTGGCCCTCCAAAGATCAATCCTACTTGACAACATCTTACTCTTTAGTGTTTAAGTTCTCTCATTAGGGAGAAATTAAGTTTAATTATTCTTTTTCTTCTTTGGGGGGACAATAATGAAAATAAGGACACTGTTCCAGCTCCTTGCTTCACTTGATTGTTAAGCAATCTTCTAGATCCAATTATATCACCTTATCACATCAAATAATAACAGACATTTGTTGATGTTCCAGGTTGTAGGCTAGGGGCTTTTGCGTTTGTTCCCTTACTTAAATCATTGCAATAACTCTATAACATAGGTATGATTAACTCCATTGTAGAAACACAGAAATTAAAGTTCATAAGTTTAAGAAAACGAATGTCTACATTCATGAAGTGGTGATCAATGGTTAGAATACAAATTGTTGGCAGGTTTGAGACGAGACTGTTAAGTCAGTGACATTCAGACCAGAGAGTTTACCCAAAAGTACCAGTAGGGTTGTCTTTAAGTGGTTTATCTTGCACTCCTTTAATTCTAGCAATATCCTCAGCTAATGAACACACACTACTTACTTTATTTGCTTCCAATTGGGACTCCAGAGATCCTGTTTCTTTGAGCAAAGATCTGGTTAAGAGCCAGAGGAAAATGTTATTCATAATATCAGAGGTCAATATTTCACACAGACCAACCCAAAGCCCTGACACTTCTCTACTTCTGTTACATGGCCGCTCTGAAATAACTTTTCACACACCAAATTTTCATGAAACCAAATCCCCCTGTTTATTGGCAGCCTCACTGGACAGATGAGAAGGGAAGTGAGGCATGCTCACACTTTTCTTGGCCTATGAGACGGCTTCCAGACCTTCCTCATAGCTCTTATTCTGCACTATACCCCTAACCTAGTGCAGTCAAGACTTCACTTGTGGGGTGTAGGGCCAGAATGATATATACCATGCTTCTCCTCACCCCACATTTTAATTTAGGCACCCTTAGATTGAGATGGAACGAAGACAACTCTGTACTAAGTCCTCCTTCACTAAATCTTCCAGGATAAAATAACAAAACAAACAGGATAACATAAAATACTGACCCATCCAGAAAATAAGCCCTGGACGTGGAGGTCCGGCACAGGAATTGAAAGAGAGAAAAGGGAAATCATATGTTAATACAGATTATTTCAGTAATCTTTCTTCAGTCTAATGAAATATTCTAAGACTTCTGTAGCCAAAAAATATGAACCTGTCCCACCCACTGTTCCAAAGTCCCTCCCCCTCTGAGAAGCTCAGACCACTCTGGGCGGCACCCTGCCATAGGGTACAGAGCTCAGGTGTCAGCTGATATGCTCGGGGCTGGGCACACGCAGGTGGGGCATGGTGGACCAGGGCCGGGGGCCAAGGGAGATGAGCTATGTTCCCTCTGCCCTCTGTGAGATGTCTTTATAGCCATAATACAGGATTTCTTGTCGTTCAGTGTCTGATTTACCCTTGTCAGTGAGTTTGTAGGAACAGTATATATCAAGGCTTCTCTAAACCACCACTTCAGTTCTCAGAACTCCACGTACTAGATACAGTCGACCAACTTTGACCATTTATTCTAACATACTACATTCTCTGAGTCTCCTCTTTTCCAGGTCATTTGCCCCAGAAGATGTGATAAGTGTTACTTTCATGTATAGAGCATTTTACATTTAATGAAAGCAAGTAGCATATATTATCTTGCTTGATTCTCACCACAGCTTTAGCAGTCAGGCAACATAATAGCTCCCTATTAGGTGCTCACAGTAGGCTCTGCCTCTGGTTGTGCCAATAAACACATATGTGACCTTGAGCAAGTCAGTTTATCTGCTGAACTTCCTCCCACACTTAGAAATAGAGGTAATAAGATCTGCTCTGTACACTTTCAAGGTTGCTCTGAAAGTTAAGTGAAGTAATGGATATAGTAATAGCTTGCAGAGTGCAGAATGGTATGCAAACACGAGGGACTGTTATTACTTCTGGACTGTAGCTGTAGGCAACAGGAAAAAACAATGGTATCAAGGAGAAAACACAGCAGGGCACGCAGTGGGCAGCAGGAAGAATTCTCGCTTTTTGCAAGGATTGTTTCAGAAAGCAATCAATTCTAAGTATAAAGCATTGACAGAACGTGGTGATTTTAGAAGCATATAAATGCTGTGGAAGGCGCTCTTCCTCCCCTGACAGGTCTTTCATCCCCGTGGTGAATGGCGTATGTGGCACAGGGATCGTGGGTGTGCAAGTAGCACAGCAAACCTGGTCTCCAGGATCCATTTAAGGAAGTCACTGGCATTCTGTTCAAACTCCTGGAGCATGTCAAAGTTCTTGACCTGTCTTTCCTCTTCCTTTTGCAGCTCCTGCTCCCGTTCCTAAAATCCCAAATCACAGATAGTGTGCTGCACACTGAAGACCTTTCTTTGCAGGAATATGATAGTTCCTACGCTGAGCTGTACATCGTCTCTTTCCCAAATCTACTCTATCTCCCAGAGTGCCCACGTGCTTATATTTCTTCCAGCCCAACTTCTCATCACCAAAAGGTGACAAAAGCTCATGTCACATCCCATAAATACTTACAGGTACCTGTAGCCCAAGGCCAGTAACAAATACAGTAGTAATAAAGGCAAATCTTCTCCCCTATCAATTTTTTTCTAGACGAAACTTGATGTAAAAGCAGCCTTACAAGGAAAGGCAGCACTAAGGGTTGCTGTCTAAAATTGGTGAAATGTTTCTTTGTTAAACTTTTAAAATATTTTTCCTGGTTTCTGTGATGAACATCATTACAAACAGACAAAAATGAAATGCAAACACATAAAAATGATCATTCAGGGTCATTTTCAATGATAAGATTTTAGGATTTCTTATAGTGAACTCTTGGCACAGGGATCGTGGGTGTGCAAGTAGCACAGCAAACCTGGTCTCCAGGATCCATTTAAGGAAGTCACTGGCATTCTGTTCAAACTCCTGGAGCATGTCAAAGTTCTTGACCTGTCTTTCCTCTTCCTTTTGCAGCTCCTGCTCCCGTTCCTAAAATCCCAAATCACAGATAGTGTGCTGCACACTGAAGACCTTTCTTTGCAGGAATATGATAGTTCCTACGCTGAGCTGTACATCGTCTCTTTCCCAAATCTACTCTATCTCCCAGAGTGCCCACGTGCTTATATTTCTTCCAGCCCAACTTCTCATCACCAAAAGGTGACAAAAGCTCATGTCACATCCCATAAATACTTACAGGTACCTGTAGCCCAAGGCCAGTAACAAATACAGTAGTAATAAAGGCAAATCTTCTCCCCTATCAATTTTTTTCTAGACGAAACTTGATGTAAAAGCAGCCTTACAAGGAAAGGCAGCACTAAGGGTTGCTGTCTAAAATTGGTGAAATGTTTCTTTGTTAAACTTTTAAAATATTTTTCCTGGTTTCTGTGATGAACATCATTACAAACAGACAAAAATGAAATGCAAACACATAAAAATGATCATTCAGGGTCATTTTCAATGATAAGATTTTAGGATTTCTTATAGTGAACTCTGTGCTCCAGTTCTACCTGACATGTAGTAAACATGCAAAATGGGTGGTAAAAATATATAGATAAGTGATTGAGTAAACAAATCAGTCATGGGAGAGGCATCTATCCCATCCTTTATCCACTTCTTTTTTTTCTCTGATCTTTTCAGACCACATCTCTCTGATTTGGGGGTGTGAATCAAAGAAGGAATACCTTAGATGGGGGGAATAGATAGACTGTGAACATACTGACAACCCTCATAAACTTCCCACAACCCATTCTTAGAGCTTTCTCCTGGAGCCTGTGTCTGCTTCCCTGAATCATTGCTCAACACCTAAAAGCATGAACTGTCTAAACAATGGGAGATGGGGCTATGCCTACTGTGAACATAGTTCCGAATGTTTCTTATATCCAGCTCGCAACAGCTATTCCAGTGTAATCAGTCACAGTGTCCCTTTCTTTCTCAGGCATCCTCAACTTGTATAATGAATTAAGTGCTCACGCTATCACCGAAGGAGGCCTCTGCCGTGCCCCGGGTTACCTTGATGATGTCATGCAGGTGCTTCCAGATCCTTTCTAGCACTTCCACTGTTAACCAGGTATAAGGGCTGGAGGGCACATTCAAGGCCTTAATCTGCTGGTCCAGTTCCAGCAAATGGTTGAAGTTAGATTGGGCCCCTGCCAAGGAGGCCAAGAAAGCCTCGTGGTCCTTCTGCAGCTGCCGGATCCCGTCCAGGGAGACACAGCGCACAGGCTCTGACAGGTCCTCCTGGGCGTTCTCACACCAGTTGTTGAAAGCTGAAGCCTTGCGTGCAAATTCCATGAATAGGTCCTCGGCCTACAGAGAAAAAAAAAGTAAGATACCTTCATCTCTCTCAATAAAGCCCTTCAGCAAAAAAGAAGACTGAAGATTAAAAAAAAAATTGACTATCTTCAAGTATCTTTAGAGTCAGCATTCTACGAGGCCAGAGCTACAACCAGTGAGGACCATGGGATCAGACGATGGGCATGTGAGTTCGAGGTACAGCCCTGGTCCTACATTTCCTCACTGTGTGAAATTAGTCAAATCTTCCATAATCTACTAATGGGAGGTTGAGTGACTTCTAGAGTTATTGTAGCTGTAAGATTCTGAAAGAGGCAAGGGTCATTTGCAATGATAAGACTTCATGATTCCTTATACTGAATTCTTTGCTCAAATTCTATCTGGCAAATAGCAAGCATGCAAAAATAGGTGTTAAATGAATGTCTGAGTAAATGATTGAATAAACAAGTCATTTGTGGGAAAGGCGTCTATCCTATTCTCTATCCACTTCTTTCTCTCCTCTGACTCTTTCAGACAATGCCCTCTATCCTCTATCCTGAGTTATTTTCCCACCTTCCTTCTAAAACTTGGTGAGGGCTCATCTCACACCTGAATCCCCTGTTTAAACCCATTTCCTACACTCTAATTTATATACTTATTGCAGTATTACTCTCTCTCTGGAGTTATCCATATGCTCTGAATGCCTCTGAATTGTCTGAATGTTGAACAAGAGAAATTGTATGGATTTTCCCAAATATTACATGATCAAAAATAGTTTCAGATTTAAAAGGATCATAGGTTTTGGGTCAGCTGATTATACTTCCAAAGAGATTTATCTTAAGCAAATATGGGGGTTAAAGATGAGAAAACTGATCCCATAGGAAGGATGGTTGCAAAGGTATTACATCATCGCATTTTACCTGTACTCACATCAGCCAACTATAGGCAAAACAGACAGGAAAGATGAAAGAACTTACAAATCATTTGAAAATATTTTTGTAATAATATAATCAACTGAATATTTTACAAAGATTTTGTAATAAGAAATAAAATAACAAAACTCTGCAGTTTGAAAATTAAGCAATCAGAATGTAAAGTAGCTTTCTATGTAGAATGCATATATATGTGTAAAGTTGCTCATTAATTGATTTAATTTTTCACTTCAGATTTATTTCTGTAGGTCCCATGTCTTTCAATAGAGAAGACATTAACTAAGCATTTAGACTGACTGGTTTTCATTTGATTGTTTGTTTCCTAATTCCCCTAAGCCCCTGCCTTAACGTGCAGCCAGTACAATAAACACCTTTTATGATCTGGGAGTGCTCAGTAATTTCACTGACTATCCTGACTTCATCTTATCATTGATATGTTTTTTTATGATCAGCCTCTGATACCTGAGCAGATACCTCCAATACCTCCGATACTATCACTAGAAAGAACATTTTAATTGCTTGTATTTATATAGAACTTAGTGGTTTGTCCTGCATTTTCAGTTCCATTATCTCTTTTCATAGTCATAACACAGACCCCAAGGAAATGGTAATATTATCCTATTTCATAAATGGAAGAACGAAGGTTAAGAGATGGAAGCGACGTACGCCAGGTCTCCCACCTAGGAAAGGCAGACCCAGGGTGAGAACACACGTGTGCCCTGTCCATGTGCGGCTCCTTTATCTGAGTCGCAGAAAGCACAAGGACGCCTTGACTCCCGCCTGACAGTATTGGTGCTTCCGAACCCTAAATCCTTCCAGCCTCTTGTCCTACCCGCCTGGGCTGTTATGGGTGCCTGGCTTCCATCTACCGGCAGCTGAATCACTGATAAGTCAGCTCTTTAAAACACTTCCTACTAACCTAAAACAATGAGTTACTTTTTGTTCGGTAAGAATGTCTTCCTGATCCTTTTCAATGTACTCACTGAAATCTCTGCAGGTTCTCCGAACAGGATTTCAAGTGTCTATTTCTGGATTCCATGGCTAATATACAGATAATTGAGGACTGATGGTGGCTCATCATGTTTTTCCCTTTACCTTCAGCAGGGGCTCCTGCTTCTCCAGCAATGTATTTCTGTGAGCTTTGGAGGCTTCCCGCAGCTGCCCGAAGCGCTTCAGCAGGGCAGCATGGCGCTCCTCGATGGCTTCGGTGTGGCGGTGCTGAGCGGCCACCAGCTGGTCCTTTAGGTCGGTTATCTCTGACAGCCTCTCCTGCTGGAAGCTCTCTAGACTGGCCTCCAGCGTGTCCTGCCAAAGACCCACAGAGAAGCTGTGGACAGAGGGACATGCAGATCGCAAGGACTCATTCACACCTGGGGTCCCCCAGATCTTTATCTGGGACAAGATAAGGACTAGGACAGAGGGTGGGGACCAAACAAGACTGAGAGGCTGAAGTGAACATTTGTGATTGGAATTATGAGGAAGTTCCAGTGGTTATGTGCTTTATAATTAGATTTTAGGTTAAGTATAAATTAATATGAAGGGAATACTAGAGCACGACATAATATTTCAAATTTCTTAATCAAAACTAACTCCTTCCTACAGCTCACATCCTTTCTAAGACTCTTTTAGATCGACTACCAGATTATGTGTTCTAATTAGTAACAGTGCACCACCAGAGACTGTAGGTGTGTACAAACTAACGAAAGACCTCTTGAAGGTGTCAATTATGTGAATGACGTTTTGTGAAAATGTTTGTACCGAAATCACAAAATTCGGGAAATTCCACTTCCAGCTTTAACAGGGTGGTTTACATTTTTCCAATCCTCCCTTTGAGGACAACTTTAACCACTGGGTAAAAGTACAAAAAAGAAAAAAAACAGTTGTTGACAAGAGATCAGAACACAACTCAGGTAACTACAACTCAAGGGATCAAAATTCTAGAAAGAAGGAAATAGGATTAAAATCAGAGTAATACTGTCTCTTTTCCCTTTGAAGTGTAAGCTGCGTAGGGTAAGAGGTTGAGGAGAGAACAGCTGTTCAGAGCTTTGGGCGACCTCAAGAGGGGAAACAGACAAAAACCAGAGCTTCGGGGAGATGGGGCAACCAGCACCTGAGAAGCCGTGAAAAGGGAACTGCAGGACAGCAGGTTCATTATTCTGCCTGTACTTTCCCCTCAAGACATTTACAGATTCTTAACCTGTAGAGGACACAGGTCCTAGAAGCCAAGCAGAAAACAGTAGCTAAGGGTCTAAAATGCTAAGTGGGATTTTCGGGAGTGTCACAGTGCTGGGTTCAGGACACACCAAGTAGGAGCAGCCCTAGTGAGGGGTTTAGCTGACACCCTCTGAAAGGCCCTTGGAAGAAGAGCAAAAGGCAAAACTATGTCTTGAATCATTTCAGTCCCCAGACAAAAATCAAGGGTTGGCGAGGGGATGGGAGTGTTAAATAAAAGCTTTAAATAAAAACTCATGAGTTTATTACATCAAATGGAGTCATGATTCCCGTAAAATGATCAAATTAAATGAATGAAGCAAAACTCAGCTATATAATATCTATACATGACACATCTGAAATATAAAGCACTCTCCAATTCCATGTTCACTGCAACACTCACAATAGCTAAGATATGGAAACAATCTGAGTGGCCATCAACAAATAAATAGACAAAGAAGATGATCATATACACACACACTCACAATGGAATATTATTCAACCATGAGAAAGAAGGACATGCTGCCATTTGTGACCACTCGAATGAGCCCTGCTGGCATTATGCTGAGTGAATGAGTCAGAAAGAAAGACAAACACTGTTTGATATCACTTAAAAGAGCTGAATTTAGAGAAACAGAGAGTAGAGTGGTGGTTACCAGGGGCTGGGAAATGGGGAAAACAGGAAGGTTTTGGTCAAAGGGTATAAACTTCCAGTTAAAAGATTGAGTTCTGGGGATCTAATGCATAGCATTTTGATTATAGTTAATACTCTATTATTATTACAGTAAATCTAAGAGTAAATCTTAAATGTCCTCATCACAAAAAAGAAATGGTAATTATGTGATGGGATGGAGGTGTTAGCTAATGCTGGGGTGATAGCGCTGTTATTTTGCAATATTAAATGCACCAAATCAACAATGAAATATAAAGACATAAACAAAAAGTCAAAGGATGGAAATATTAAACACTGCAAACACTAAAGAGAAAATTGGTATGGTTTACTAGTATATGCAAAAGAAGACTATATCAATAAATGATCTTAGAAAGAACACTTAATAATTAAAAGCATCAGTTTATCAAGATGATTTCATAAATCTAAATGTCAACACAATTTTTAGCATAGCTTCAAAATATATAAAAAACAAAGTGTTTAGACAACAATTAACAATCAAAATCTGATAGGTAATATAAACTAGTATAAATTACATATTCTTTTCAATTGTACATAGACTATTCACCAAAAAAGGCTATTTGTTGTGTATAAATCAACCTTCTAAAATAATACAAGATATGTTTTTAAAATAAAGTGTAATTAAATTCAGTATGACTATCAAAAATGATAATAAGAAAATTCCCAAATGTTGGAAATGAAGCAACTATGGAATAACCAACGAGTTAAATATGAAATCACATTAGCAATGACAGAAAAACTTTAATTGTATGATAACAAAAATAACATGAAATCTATGAGATGCAACTCAAGCTTTGCCTAGAGAGAAACATATGCCCTTAAGTCACTCTATTAGAAAAAAGAGTGGCTAAATATTTGATAATCTAAATATGCATCTCAAGAACTTTTTAAAATATCAAGTTAATCCTAAGGAAAATAAAATGATAAAGATATAAAAAGATATTAATAGAATGCCAAATGCAAAGATTCAACAGAGAAAAATCAAAATACCAAGTCAATTCTCTAATAAAAATGATGAACAACTAGCGTCAAGACTGGTGGGGATGCAGGGAGGGAGGGAGAAAAACCAGTAAATTATCAGCATCAGGAAGGAAAAAAGGAACACGATCGCAGGTCCTGCAGACAATAAAACAACGACACTTAAGAATGAGGTGATCCTGCGTGTTCAGTTCCTGGGTGATGTGGGTCTGGGACTTCACTGGCATCTATCAACAAGGCAGCCCTGCTCTTACCTGCTTTGCTAGGAGATTGAGGAAGGCAGCAAGGTCTGAGCCGTTGCCATTGATCTTCAGGCTTGCCTCCTTCTCAGCTAAAGAGCAAAGATACTCAGTTAGAGGGGACATGCAGTTGGTCTCCTATCAGCTTTGGCGAAGGGAAAAGGAATATTTACTAAAGGTCACAGTGAGCCTCCTGACTCTCAGAATGGGTGATTCACTGGAATCGGAGCACTGGGGACCAAGGGATTGTTTCTCTAGACTTAGGCAGGATGGAACTGATTGAAACAGAGCTAGGACAAAGAGCTTCTGTTTCATAGAACAAGGAAAATTGCATATGAGATATAAACATTAGCAATCAAATAGTTTGTTTCCTGGAATGCTTTGCCATGGCTTTACCTTTCTTAAGATCACACATGAAATCATCAATTCCCCAAAGATGTGTTCTCCGGAATTATGTCATTCCATCAGCATGTTTGTTTCTGGCTGTGTGTGTATGTGTGTGTGTGTGTGTATGTGTGTGTGCGCGCACATATGTGAGTATAACTGTGTCCAGAAAGGGTAGGAGTGGGGATGGAAGAAGGATCTCCCTTCCCAAGATGAGTGAGAAGCTCCAGGAACCATTCTGTAAATGGTATTTATTAGCATTTGTCAAACCCAAGGACCCTGCCCCTCCCGTGTCATACCTGTCCAGGCCTCCACCACATCAGCCTTCCAGTTGAACTGCTGAAATGCATGGTCATTATCCAATTGCAACTTCCAAGCAGCTATTGCCTGGGCCAGAGAAGGGATCTTTTCATTCAGAGCATCTATCTTGGCAGAAATCTCCTTCCGGTGACTTGTCTCCTATCACACCAAGGTTGAGGGAAGAAGCAGAGACAAATATATTGGTGAGGCCAGGGGTAGAAATGTAAACTATTCAGTATGATTAAAAAGTTTTCCTCTCCCTCATTTCAAATATGTAGCTACTCCCTTCTAGGTCAAGTGTAATGATTCTATTATCCATCCAAGTCCAGCATGGTTATTTCCATCCCAGCATTTGAAAGATCCTCTCATGTTTGTCCACATAAGCATGACCTTGTCGGTGGGAGTCATCTCTGTTTAGCCTTCTTTACACAACACTTAGGTTAACGAGTGTTTGTAAAAAGAAGCAATTGAACAAAACAGTCATTCTCAAATTACAAAGAGCTTTCAGTGTGGTCCTCCTCCCTAGAGGCTTACTTAGAAATCGTTTCACATTCTTACAGTACCTATAACCAAAGCAAGTGATCAGTTTTTTATGAATAATATGTTTCTGCCACGTTCTATATACAAAAAGAGTAAGAGTTCCAACACAAGATTTAAGAAAACCTGAAAGGTATACCTGGAAGAATTTGAAAAAAGAATTTCCAGAAAACGGCAATTGAATAGTTATTTGTTGAGAAAAACAACAAGGCAGCTAGGAAGAGATTATTAAAGTCTTACGTATGATTTCAGCACTGCTCGTGATTCTGTATTTAGGCCAACCCCTTTTGAAAATGAAAGCTTGACCCAGATTCCTTGAAGTCACTCACCTTGCTCAGGATGTCTCCTCCTTCAGCACACAAGTTTTGCACTCGGGTCCTGTGGACTGCAAAGTCCTCGTCCAGTGCTTCATACTTCTTCAGCAAGTTCTGTATATAAGAGCCGGTGGGAACCAAGCATCTAAGGCTGAACAGTCTATTCCACCCACCACCTGACTGCCTTTGAAGCCATTCATCCAAGCTGATTCCGCTAAATGGGTGGAGCTGGTGAGTGGCCACTTCTTGCTGTATAGCTACACTAAATTCTTCTCCCAAAATTCTTCACTTGTCAAAAGGGGCCATCTTACCAGAGGAAAAAAAGGCAAAGAAATATAAGTGACATGCTTTTTAACTTACTATGCAAATTTAAGCTTTTCTGGACTTTGGAATGAGTGTGTTGATCAAGGTAATATATAAGGATTCCTCCGTATTGAAGTTTATATAATTCTATGAAACATTGTAGATAGCAGAAAAAAAATACGAAGTGTCAAGAACATCCTCTGCTAGGCACTGACTCTAAAGGGAGGTAAGGAGAATGCTGAGCTCCCTGCGAATATTATTCTAAATCTCTTCCGTTTCTAACTGCTCCTGGAGCCATGTTTGCAGCTGGTAGGATGGAGCGGGGAGTATGGGTGAATCTCCGTATCCTGTTGTATTTTCCTAAGTGTTTCTATACTAGCCCTCGCCACCTTTTTGCTTTTAGTGTCATAAAGGCACCCAACCATTTTTTTTTCCTACACCACATACTATCCCGGGCTAAAGGAAGATGCAGGTTTTGTATGAATCTCTTTTTAACTATCACATTAAAAAAATTTGTGGTTTAAAAAAAAATTTTCCAACTAAGTATAAGATTAGTATTTTGAGGGAATCTTTAGAAAATCTATCCCTATAAGAAAAGGCCTTTTGTGGTGACCAACTCCCAGAAAGGTCAGAAATCATGGGATCAAGATTTGAGTCCTGCCTTCACACCTGATCGGTTCCATCATCTTAGGCAAGTCGCCGACATCCTTACCCCTTGATTTTTTGTATTTAAAATTGGCAGAAGTATCCACATTCCCACCATCTTCTTCTCCCACCAGGAGAAAGACCGCATTTTGCCAGGGGAAACTGGTGACCCCTTAAGAACAGATTCAAATGAAAGAGAATAGGATTGGTCCATTTGGCCTGTCTCTCACCTGCGTGGCAGCCAATGTGTCTCCGGAGTCCCCTCGGGAGACCACAGCTTCCTTCTCAGTTATCCACGCCTCCTCCTCCTCGGCGTTCTGCATGAATGTCAAGTATTCCAGGGACTCCTCCAGCTGATGCCCCCTGAAACAGGACAGTGGGCCCCAGCGAGAATGAGAGGGGCCTGGTAAGCTGGGCTTGTGTAGCAGGGGAGCAGGGCCTTAGGCAGTCGCGGTCCCACCACACCACACACGGTCTGGCCAGCACAGCCACATAAACACACAGAAAGAGCTGAACTCCTGGGAAAGGGGGAGAGCCTTGCCCCAGAGGATCAGTTTTGTGGCATCAGCTTCTCTAGGAATCTTCGCTGGGGGAAGGAGACCTTGTCCAAACAAAAGTGCCAAGATTTCAGAATTGGAAAATAATGGAGGTAAAGCAGTGTCCCTTTCTACTCTCAGCACTGCTGTTCTTAATGAAGGCACCACAAAAGGCTGGAAGGTCCTTTTTATTCCCCAGAAAGACATGTCTTCCTACTGCCGACAGGTCTGGAATTATAGGCAGCAATGATTCTGTTTGGCTGTATGGCTGTATGGTCTAATTTACTACCTGGCTTACCAGGGAGAAAATAGATTCCTTCATTCTTGCCTTCCTGGGTACTACACAAAGTGCTAAACGGGGGAGATACACAAAGACAGACATGTGGGGAATAACCTGGTGTGAAGGATGGCATACGTAGGGCAACAGTGGTAAAAGAGAGCTGCGAGTAGGTGTAGGAGCAGAGAAACATTCAGGTCCCAGGGGCAGATTTCCTGGGACAAATGGGGGAAAGCTTCATGGAAGACCTGGCATCTGAGCAGGGACTTAAAAGATAAATACAGATGGGTAGTTGGGGGTGGAGTCAACGCCATGTCCAATACCTACCGCCCAGGAAGAGAACTGAGCATCTTATCCCTGACTCACCGAACCTCGGCCAACTCTTTGAGCTTCTCCCAGTGATCAACAAACTGAGCCAGCCGCTCCTCCATCTCCTCTTTCTGCACAGCATCCTTGTTGCCCAGGTTCTCTGCCCTCTGCAGCACATCCTGAAGAACACATGCCCTCCGTGTGGCACTACCCCACACTCTCTTCCCATTTAGTCACAGTTCCCTGGCAGAATCTCTAGCCTCCACCACCCTCCAGATCATTTATGAACTCCGCAGTCCTTGGGATGGCCCTGAGAGTCTCGGGAGAATGCAGAAAGCTGCCATCAGAGCTACCACGCTCAACTTCCCAGTAGTTGTACAAATACCTCAGCACTTGCACTAGGCTATTCTCCGTGATCTGCATAATGGATCATTCACGGTCACAGGGTGACCCTGCCACCAAGTCAGACTCAGACTTATTTTCTTCCCACATGGTTCCGCACAAGTACAGCTTTTCCAGATGCCCCAGCCTGCATCCTAATTGTCAACAATGGCACCCTGGAATGTTAAAAGTGCCCATTGCAGGAAAAAGCGTGGGTTCCTGTGCTGAATTTATTCTATTCATGGGAGACAAAATGTGGAAGAGAAAAAACACTTGTGAACTCTGTGACTGACTCTCTACGTGACCTTGGCAGGCCACCTTCACATTTTGTAGCATTGTCCTATTTAACCATAACATGAGGGACTACTATTAGATTATTTCTGCCTTTCCAGGTCTCATATGCTCCTGTCCCTACCTGGATGGTGGATTTGTGTGCCGTCAGGTCCTCCTCTAGGCGTCTGTGTTTCTTCAGTAAGTTCTGAACCCCTGGCAGATCTCTCCCGAAGTCCTGGGAGCCTGCTCGTACCAACTTCTCCCTGGAACCAAGAAAGAAATCAGACAATTTAGAGTTTTGATATCTGAGGTCATCTTAGAACAGCTGCTTTCTCAGACTATGTGTGGCTGCGGGTGGGGAGCTGGTACATTCTGGAACACTCTGGTGTCAGTAATTGTAAAGATAATTCGTGCCAGAGGCTTTCAGCAGAACCTCTGACTTATGCCAATACAAATTAAAATTAATTAAATGACATGCTGATCTCCACCCTCTGCACAGCTCTAACAGCCTCCCCTTTCCTTTATCTGTCTACCTGTGTATCTTTCTTCTTCGTTTAAAAACATACACTAACGTTTCCCTTTCAAGAAATGTGGAAATTTCACAAACACACATAAAATAAACATATATACATATACGACCTTCATGACCTTTATTGCTTTTGTCTATTAATATCAATAATGCATTTAGGTAGAATGGGTATAAAGAGCTGATATTATCGGACGCATGGCATTTAGTTTGGTCCTGAGCATAAAATGACTGAACCCCACCATGAAGCCCAGTGAAGGGTGACACAGACAAGATTGTATTAGCTCCCTATTTCTAAGAAGGTTTCTAAGCTGTCCCAATTGTTGCCCCGGGTATAATGCTTCCCTCGAATTCACTGGTTACGAGTAAGAGTCAGCGAGAAGAGGAAAAGTAAGAAGAGGAACAGGATGAGGTGGGTTAAATGGGACGAAGGGAAAATAATTTGATTCACTGAGATTTCACAATCATTTTTTACAACAAAAGTAGAATTAGGAACGAAATTATGGCAGGTACCATGTAACCCTCTCCACCCAGTGTCCAGTTCAGTGGCACACTGAATACACAGGACATAGAAAGAATGATGATCTCATCAGCTGAGTAAGTTCTAAGTGTCCAGCTGTCGCATTCAGAATGGGCATCACACATCCTGTGAACTTTCCAGAACAAACATATATGGTTTCTTAACTTTGTTCCCAGAATACATGTAAACTGCTCTCTACTCCCTCCGTTCCTGTCTCCCTCTGCCTGGATACAACGGGAGAATTTCAGAAAAATAAAACCAACGTTAACTTTAAGTGAAGGCAAACATGATTAAGAAGTAATTCCAGTGGCAAGAAACAATTACATATTTCATTCGGCATCACATAGGAACCTGTTTGGTGGATTATGTATTTTCTTGGATCGTTCTTGCGTTGTGCGCTGGCAGTACATACTTTATCCAGGATTCCTCATTATCTAGGTCCTCGAAGAACTGGAACAGGTCAAAGGCCATTTTCAGTTTCTCATAATGTGCAGCTGCTAACTTCTGGACATTCAGGAAGCGCTGGTTGACCTCATCCCTTTTCTCCACGATTTGGTCAGCATTGAAGGGCTCGCTGGAGAGCAGATCGTTAGCCAAGTCATTCAGGTCCTTGAGTGCGTTCTAGAAAGCCAAGTGTGTTCAGTGAGCAGAATAGTACAGGTATTAAGTAGACCTGGGACCTTAACCACCACCTGTTCAGGTTCAAAGACTGGGCCAAATTGCTTCCAAAGATAATGAATTTGATGATACGCTCTTTTAACTCAGATTGAGGGCAGGATGAATAGCATGGCTGCATTATTCAGGCTGTGCATTTGGCCTTCTGATGTTTTCCCCTGCATTTTCTTCCTTTTCCCAGCTAGAAAATAAGACCTCGGAGAGCAAGCTCCGCGCCTCCCAACAGGACTGTCTTCTTCACGGTACTGAATTGGACACAGACTGATTGAAATCCTCATGAACACTTCCAGCCTCTTTTGTGCCTATTTGCATTCTGACTCTGCCCCCTAGTGATGTCATAGGGAATACAATGGCTTGATATTAGGGTGCAACTGGAATTCTTCATGAAATTTCCAGAGTGTATACATAGCTCAACTTCACTACACATGTCTCCATCTGATTTTTCTTTTCCTCTGCTATTCTATAAAATAAATTTCCATTTTCTCCCAAAGACCAGATCAAATATTCAGCTTTGGAGGGCAGTGAGCTTACATGCATGCATCATTAAAAAGTAAACAAGATTGCTCTTAGGATCCACTTCCTGAAGTCTTAGGATCTATAGCTTCATGATTATTGGTCAATAGTAACCATTACAACAGCTCTGCAGCTCATGGTTTTGACTTGGTTATAAGGACAGCTGGCTAAGAACACTAAGGTCAGTTGTGCAAGAATATATTCTCAAATGGTGTCCCAAGACATAAAGTCAGAAGCATTTCCTTCCTGCCCAAAGGAGAGGCATTCCAATGCTACTTACCTCTCGGGCCAACATCTCTTTTTCCAATATCTCATGCTTCTTGATCAAGTTTTCTGCTGAAGCCAAGTCCCTGGCCTGATCTTGCATGGCCAGCAATGTCTCTGCCTAGGAATAAAGGAATAAGCAGTAAGAAAAAAAAAAGCTTTCAGGTGAGAATTGCCTTTAAGGAGAACAAGATTAGCAGTTTTGTCTCAAGAAGGGTCAAGAAAATTATTCATGCCTAAATCCATTTATATGACCTCCCATGGCCTCACAGGTGCAATTACCTCTGACAGCCAGAACTTAAAGTCCTGGGTGGTTGTGTTGAACCTCTGCTGGCGACTGGCCTCCTCAAGCTTCTGACCTTTGTCAGTTGTCTTCTCAAGCAAGTCATTCCAGTGTTTCCTAAGCTCTTCCAGGTCCTCCTAACCCAAAGAAATTGAGGGATCATTATGATCTTTGGGATCCTGTGTCCTGTGACAACTTGAGAGGATCATGCAGGGAGGCTCTGGAGTCAGGGGCTAACCAAACTCTGCTAGTACTTGGACACCACACGCTATAAACCAGTTGTGCTTAATCTGAGAAAACTGAAGAGGTGTTGGAAGAAAGTTTGAAGAAAGGGCTGGACTGATTATAGGGACTGATGCCTAAATGCTAGAACTATAGGCATAGGGACAGAAAATGTAAAACAATCATGATAACACTTAGGAATTAAGTCTAAAGCTTTCCTGGAGTTCCAGGAACTGAGTATGATGGGAATGGTAAGGTCTGAGCATCACCGTTTTCCCCTCTGTGCAACAATCGGAGGGAAGACTGTTAACCACAGAGCATATTCCATATCCGTACCCGGAAACACTGAAGGAGTGAATATTTCTCTACATGTGCCTTTGCAGCCCAGAAGCCACCCCAAGGAGACACTCTACCTTCAGGCAGTTTTCCCTGCCTCCACATGCATTCCGCTCAATCAGAGACTTCCCTAAGTTGATGACTCCATCCACTTGCTCAGCTCTGCCTTTGACCTCTTCTTCGAAGCTCTGGTGCTTCAGGTATTTTCTCTGAAGGGAAAGCAGAAATCAAATTACCCTCTAAGATAAAGATAAATTCTGTTTAAAAGGAAGAGCTAATGTTCTCATAGCCAAAGTGAAGATGACTTCTTAAGGACCCACATTCGACTCAAGTCACTGAGGTCAGGGACAGTGTCTCAAAGCAGGAGGCATTCCATGTAGGGAGGTGACCATTCATCCGACAATCCGGGTATGCTGACATGTTTCCAAGATTCCTGTTTTGAACTTGCCTGAATATTGGTGGGGTCTTTGTAAGATTCCTCACAGGCTATGGGCATCATCCTACTGATCCATTCTTCCAGGTCCTCAAGGTCACGGCACAATTGTTGTAGGTCAACATAGTCCGCATGTCTGGTCCGCTCAGCAATCAGCTGTGGCTTGAGGGCCCCCCATCTGGAGGAGGGGACTAGGTCACTCTCTGCCCTCTACCCTTCCACCAAGCTCGACTGCCATATCCATGAATTTTCCCATTTGCCAACCTGTCCCTTCTCTCATTATTTATATATTTCTATGTTATAGATAACATAGTTATATATTATATTATATATAGTATACATTATTTATAAATTTATATGTTACATGTAACATAGTTTCATTATTTTCAGATGGTTAAGTGGTTAAGTCACATCATTTTTAAGTTAACTTCGGTGTCTTTCATTCTGAATCTAGGTCAGAAAGTCTCTCAAAACGTCAACATAGTTATAGGCATTGGGAAATGAACTCATTACCCCCCATCCTCAATGCGAGCAAAGAGGTCACTTTATCACATCTTCTTTTGGTCCGTAAAACAATTGCTCAGGACTGACCTGTCTAGCACCAGTTGGAGCCGAGCAGAGATCTCTTTCTCGGCATAGTGGTCATCAGCTCTGAACTTCTCAGCACGGTCTTGTAGTTCAGTGATCTTCTGATCCTAGATGAGGGAAAAGGGAAAAGCCCAGATTCCTGGAGATTAGACCCTTGGTGCAATCAGGGACTCCCTCTCGGAAGAGACTAGAGATCCCTTCATAGCTTCATAAAGGGGAACAAAACCTGGGCCAAAGGGTAAATGCCTTTCAGGCAGGTGGATTTTAACTCAGGAAGAAAAGAAACATTAATAATGATACTGAGTCGGGCTACTTGTGGGTACTGAGTCCCCTAAATAACCGACACTCCCCAAGGCCATTGTAAGCGGTGATTCCTTCACTGGGCAGAATGTTGAAATAGACATTCATAAAGTCACTTCCAGTTGTGAAAGTCAGGTTTTAGAAGCTGGTTTTAATGTAAGAAAGTCCAAAGCCACATGTGACCTGGGTAAGACTAAGCCACAATGTCAAGCTGCTCTGCCTACTTCACAGTTTTCTGGAAGAAGCAAACGGGAATTAAAATACTTAAAATCATAAAACCACATACATGTGTAGGATTTCTGTTATTATTACTAATAGTTATTACCGGAACTCCTATTAGTTGTTATCACCTGGGCAGTGATTGCTTCGTCCAGATCATCACGTTTCTTCGCCGAGGCGTCCAGGCTGTCTAAGGAGCCCTGCTCATCTGACCTCAGTAAGTTCTCATGCGCCGCCATCCAGCTCTCAGCCTGATCGCAGTCCCCTTGGAACAACTACGGAGAATGAAATGAGCGCATATATGGTACAGGCGCTCCAGGAGACAGGACGTGGTCCTACTGCTCTCCTGTGGCTCTGATGTAAGGGGTGCTGTAGGAAGCATCATTCTTGCAAGAAACATTCACACCATGAATCTTTGTTACACTGGACCTTTTAGTCTTTCCTGAAAGTTCATTTTACGTTTCTATATAAGCTGTACTCCATTTCTAGGGTTCTAGTTCCCATACACTATGCCTGGTGGATACTGGCTGGTTATTTCTTTAAGACTCTGGTGAACACCATCCTTTAGAATAGCCTGTGACACTCTCACCCTATTCCCTTAAAAGAGTCAATCACTGTCTCTTCTTTAGCCTCCAAACATTCATATATTTTGTTTTATTAATACTCATTTTACTATACTAGAATGATCTGCCTACATGTCTAATTTCACCACTTAAGAAAAGGGATACTATCTATGTGTTCTTAGGGCCTTGAATACTGTGGGTTCACAGTAAAAAATCAATCACTTGAACCTTCCATCAGTCAATAAATTAATTACAATGACCTCACTTCATGCCCAAGGCTTACTCTCATTTTGGTTGGTTCTTCTAACAAGGATAAAATCAAAGAACCCCACAGTGATCAGTTTAGAAAGCAGAGAATACCATGCCAGACAATGAAGGGATGCCCTGTGCTTACAGCACGGGAAGTCCAGTGAAATGAGCTCTTGTGCTGACCATGGAGAAGCACACAGAAGGGGAAGACGGAGGCTGCTCCTGCCTAGCAGTGGGGAACGTGCTCTACCTGCCACTGCAGACACTGATCCAGCATCTTCTTGCGTTTTTCCCAAGCTTTCTCCAAATCATCTCTTTCCAGTCTGACAGCTTGAAGCTTTTCTTCAATTTCAGGGCTGGCAGGGTGCTCAGTGCCTATAAGTTCTGCACCGAAATCTTCTAAGTCCTGGAAGGCAGGAGCCTTAGCTTCCATGTCGATATGATGTTCCTGAGGGAGAAAGGGAAAGAGACCAATAATATCTCACTGAAACTGTAAAATGACGAAAGAGTGTGAGGTCATGTGATCTGTGGCTATGGCTTTTGTAGCCTTACCTTGTGTCGCTCTATCGACATCTCTGTGTCAATTAAATCCTTAGCTGGCTCCTGGGATGACACCTTGCCACCAGTCTCACTGATCCAATTCTCNCCCAATTGTTGCCCCGGGTATAATGCTTCCCTCGAATTCACTGGTTACGAGTAAGAGTCAGCGAGAAGAGGAAAAGTAAGAAGAGGAACAGGATGAGGTGGGTTAAATGGGACGAAGGGAAAATAATTTGATTCACTGAGATTTCACAATCATTTTTTACAACAAAAGTAGAATTAGGAACGAAATTATGGCAGGTACCATGTAACCCTCTCCACCCAGTGTCCAGTTCAGTGGCACACTGAATACACAGGACATAGAAAGAATGATGATCTCATCAGCTGAGTAAGTTCTAAGTGTCCAGCTGTCGCATTCAGAATGGGCATCACACATCCTGTGAACTTTCCAGAACAAACATATATGGTTTCTTAACTTTGTTCCCAGAATACATGTAAACTGCTCTCTACTCCCTCCGTTCCTGTCTCCCTCTGCCTGGATACAACGGGAGAATTTCAGAAAAATAAAACCAACGTTAACTTTAAGTGAAGGCAAACATGATTAAGAAGTAATTCCAGTGGCAAGAAACAATTACATATTTCATTCGGCATCACATAGGAACCTGTTTGGTGGATTATGTATTTTCTTGGATCGTTCTTGCGTTGTGCGCTGGCAGTACATACTTTATCCAGGATTCCTCATTATCTAGGTCCTCGAAGAACTGGAACAGGTCAAAGGCCATTTTCAGTTTCTCATGATGTGCAGCTGCTAACTTCTGGACATTCAGGAAGCGCTGGTTGACCTCATCCCTTTTCTCCACGATTTGGTCAGCATTGAAGGGCTCGCTGGAGAGCAGATCGTTAGCCAAGTCATTCAGGTCCTTGAGTGCGTTCTAGAAAGCCAAGTGTGTTCAGTGAGCAGAATAGTACAGGTATTAAGTAGACCTGGGACCTTAACCACCACCTGTTCAGGTTCAAAGACTGGGCCAAATTGCTTCCAAAGATAATGAATTTGATGATACGCTCTTTTAACTCAGATTGAGGGCAGGATGAATAGCATGGCTGCATTATTCAGGCTGTGCATTTGGCCTTCTGATGTTTTCCCCTGCATTTTCTTCCTTTTCCCAGCTAGAAAATAAGACCTCGGAGAGCAAGCTCCGCGCCTCCCAACAGGACTGTCTTCTTCACGGTACTGAATTGGACACAGACTGATTGAAATCCTCATGAACACTTCCAGCCTCTTTTGTGCCTATTTGCATTCTGACTCTG